AACCCTGGATGGAGGATATAGTTAGAAAATCTAGACGTGTTGTGTTAGAAGTGGTAACATCAGTGGGAAAAGTCAGGAGGCTGGGACAGCGTCAGTAAATCCGGTTGACTTCCAAGGAAGATAAAAATCTTGTATATTGGGCTGCTTGTAAGATTGAGCTATTTCTTTCTCCGCCATCTAGATTGCAGACAGCTCATAACGGACGTAAACCAACCGAGCTCAAAGGGCACAGGTTGTTTAGTCAGGCGGGCAATTTTAATATCGATAAAGTTATTGGAGATTAAAATCCGCTTCCTACATAACTTTTTCGCGATCTATTCCCAGGCAAGCCGTTATGAAACATCACTAACTAAATAAGATAAGAAGTTGGGCGTTCGACCGACCACCCTACATACCCTACCCTACCCCCTTTACACTACTCTCTTCCCCCAGGGTCGAGAAGTCCTAAAGCAGGGGCGACAAGCAACCAAGTAGGCGGCTTTGGTCAATCAGGTCGTTTCCTCTTTAAAAAAATACGTGACCGGCAGTGAATTTCGACAGCCGTCTGGGACAACTACGCAGCCTATTTGGGGACGACAGTGATTGCCTCCTCGCGGGGAAGAGGGCTATGAAAGGTGACCTAGACAATTGCTGACGTTCACGATATCTGCGCGCGGACCATGGCCCGCAGATTGCAATACCTGAGACTGAAACCAACAAAAGGCAAACAACAGTCTCTCTCTCTCTTTCCCCTCTTCCTCCACTCGGCTCCATTCAACAGGCAGCTGGGGTGAGTCCGCTCACTCCAGCGGCCTGGAATGTTCGTCCTCTTTTCGACAATCCCAGGAGCAACCGACTGAAACGAAGGACGGCGCTCACCGCTTTGGAACCGGCGGTGGGCATTGTCGTACTCAGGGAGACTCGATTCTCCTAACAGGGCCAATTGGAGGAGGTGAACACTGGCGGCACCTCCTTCTGGAGCGGTCGCTCCAAGGCGGAGGCGGGCGTCACCTTCCCCATCCGGAGCGGCATCTTGGGACGCCTGTTCTGTCTGCCACAGGGCATCAACGACTGCGCGATGAGCCTCCGCCTGCCTTTCCGGGGATGCGAATTCGCCACCATAATAAATGTATATTACCCTTACAATGACCAGTCATGACGCTGCAAGGAAAAAACTCTACGAGGAACTGCACGCTTTACTGGCGACTGTGCCAAAGGTGGATAAGTTTGTTGTTCCTGAGGAACTCAAAGGTCGCGTCGGCACTTACCATGCTGCCTGGAGAGGATTGCTGGGTCCCCGTGGTTTCGGTGGCTTAAATGCCATGGGGATGCTCCTTCTGCGAAGCTGCGTGGAGCACCGCCTCGTCTTAACTAAAACCTTCCGCTTTCCGATGTGGGGGAGGAGGCGACTTGGATGAACCCTCAGTGGCGACACTGGCGCCCGCTGGATTAGGTGCTCGTCCGGAGGCGAGACCAGCAGGACCTGCCGGTGATAAAGTCGATCCTAGATACTGACGGGTGAACTGGCCACTGCCTCCTCATCTCCAAGATGAGGATTCGCCTACAATGTTAGGGGGCGCACACCGATCGTTCATACGGAACTCACTCGTTCCGTTGTGCCTTATGGACTCTCTCTCGAGCCCAACCAGCAGCCGCACAGCGGCGCATGATATATAGGCAGAATGCTATAACCGACAAAGACAAGGGAGACTGGAATGGCCATTTCTGGCTTAGTAGCCGTCGTCAGCCAGCCATACCCAAGTCCGAAGTGTGGAACACCCGAGCCTCGAACTCGCGACCTGTTGGTTTAGAAGTCAACGCCTCTACTCACCGGGCCACGAGCCCGTTGCCTTGTCGGTTTTTGATGGGGAATATACAATGTTAGGGGGCGCTCACCGATCGTTCATACGGAACTCACTCGTTCCGTTGTGCCTTATGGACTCTCTCTCGAGCCCAACCAGCAGCCGCACAGCGGCGCATGATATATAGGCAGAATGCTATAACCGACAAAGACAAGGGAGACTGGAATGGCCATTTCTGGCTTATTAGCCGTCGTCAGTCAGCCATACCCAAGCCTACAGCCTCGCAGGAGACACTAAGGTAAGTGATTATTAGGTACAGTACGTGATCTATTCCATGAAATCTGATAACGGAAGCTGATGCGAGAATTTCTGGGTGTCTTTACCGTTGCGCCTTTTGTTCTCTCATCAACTTCCTTCAATAAAATATCCTTTTCTTATGCTGAAATTGTGTTTATGTAATTATATTAAGAAAAATATTAGCAAAACTTTAACGAAAACGGACTTCGGAATATATTCGTACAATTTCCTATGATAATACATGTCATAGACTCCGGTTACGCATCTGAGCGACATTTCATTGAAAGAATAGTAATTTACCCGCGAGAGTTTTAATAACCAAATTCAGCCGAACTTGAAAATTCATTTTATGTCCGATGTAAACCGGGGCAATCAACCTGCGAACACGACGGTTATTTTAAGGAAACCAGAGATTTTATCAATTCCTAACTGTCAGATTAGCAGCTATGTGCGATTTGGTGCGTTAAAGTGCAGTAATAACGCAGATAGGGATTCCTTCGTTTAAATAGGCTAAAATTGTTTTGCCGTTTGGAAAATTCTACCTGACGTCGCATAAATGACCACCACCGAATGGTCATTTCCAGTTTTGAACATATGAAACACTACTTGTCGTATCGTTTAGTTTCTGTGAATACTTTATTTAAAAATAGAACGAGGAAAGCATTACTAATTTCAGCAAAATACCGGTATTTATATGGACGCTCTGACGTTCAAACATAACCCAAGAACAGGGTCCAAAAGCGAGCATAAAATAGTGGAAATGGAAGGCATGTTCTTACGTTTGCATTAGAAAAAAAACAGTATTGTTTAGAAACGTAAGCGAAACGACCAAAAGTGTCAAACTTTTACTTGGTCTCACCGTCCAAAAATGCAAAGTTCACAGAGATCCGTCAACGGAGTGCAGTAACAAAACAATTTTAAAGAGATAGATTTTAAAGGAAAGTTTTCTCTCTGATCAAAGGAATATTCCTTGCTGACTTTCGCTGTGGACAGCCCTGTTTCTCGAAAATGAAGTTTGATGTTTGAATTAGTCATCACATGTGACCCAAACGATCATTTTCGTAAAAAGGAACGCCCGAACACTCACTACTTCGATATGTGCTTTCAAGAATAATCTTATTTTAAAGTTCTCAACAGACAGATAATTCAGAATCTGTTTTTATGGACGATCGGGTGAAAACACTGAAAATCATGAAGTATTCAGCAACATTTCGAGGCCGATCTGAAACTTTACGTAATACAAAACGAAGGAAAAGTGTAAATTAATTTAAGGGAAGGAAAGTTCTCTTTATAAACACAAAATGGTATGTTTACGATCAGGCCTGTTAGTTCCATTGAAATTTATTAGGCACAGACTGGCCTGACAGCATGTCGCCTTATGAAAACGTTTGTTCCTACGACGTCCCCACCGGTGAAATCAAGAAAAATCCAGTCCTCTTGTTGAATCCCATCTCATTTAACTAAAGCGAGTCAAGGATAACAGAAATCCCTGGAAAACTGTTTTGGAATCTACACTAAGAAGGTACGCAGTTGCCAAACCGTCATATATGAAATCACACAAATTATTAAACGATATTTAGTCGTAAACATTACCAAACCACTATTCTGAGACGGTATTTTATTTCGACTTTCATTTTTACTACGTTTTTGGTATGAGAATACATTCTATACATATAAAAACGAAGTTTACTAAATAACAGCCATTTCTGACGTTTTCGGGTTATTGCACTTTTTACAATAAATCGGCATTTCTAAACAACGCAACACTGCCTTCAATATTTCTTTTATGTTTTTAATTCTAAAAAAACTTGTTTTTACTCAATATAGACATCGGACTCATTAAATGGTGTCAGTTTGCGAGTGTTTGGCAATCATCCGTAAATTTCGATACATTTCATGAGTTAGGTCACTAACTGTAAGTTGAATACCGTTTTCATGGATGAGCCTGCTCACCATCTCAATTGCAGCAACGAGCTGACTGAGAAGCTAGTCAACGTTTCTCTCAGCTGCGAGGACGCCTCCATGGAACAGCTGCTGACTTATTCTTCCCTCTCCTTGCCAGTCTACCTCCGGCAGTATGGGCCCCGCCGGTACAGGAGTCCATGTGTGATGGTAACCCACGAGGTCAGGGCATGTCAAGAAAGCCTATGGCCCCGAAATAGCAAATAAATTAATGCCTACTGAGGTAAATACAGTAGGTAGCAAAGCGTAGTAAGCCGTTTTGCGATCGGGTAGACGATAGATTGTGACCAGTTACCCCAGAGGATAGGCAACTGAGGGACACAGTTTAGTCAACCACCCTGGATTTTATCGGTCTTGCAAATCGACAGCAGCAGGGCTGGTTCGACGATTCCGACGTCGCTATCAGCACTCTGCTCGGCGAGAAGAAACGCTTGCACAAAACCAGCGCCATCTACGACAACAAAGCAGAATTCTATCGCAGTCGCCGCCTCCTGCAACAGCGGTTGCAGGAAATATAGGACGCCTGGACGGCTTGCAAGGCTGAGAAGATCCAAGGGTATGCTGAACGAAACGGATGAAAAAACTTCAGCGATCAAGAGTGTCTACGGTCCAACAGCCAAAGACGTCGCTCCACTTCTCAGCGCCGACGAAACTGCCCTGCTCATTGAGAAGGCGCGAATTCCGGAGCGCTGGGTTGAGCACTTCAGTGGCATATCTATCTTTACTCTACCTTCGGGGATTTGACGAAAGCCTTCAACGCGGTGAATCGCGACAGAGTGGGGAAAATCAAGCAAAACTTCGGCTGTTCTAATTGACTCACTCAGATAATGCGTCAGTTCCACGATGGCATGGCGACGAGCGACACAGAAAACGGAGTTATCTCAGAGGGATTCGCAGTGACCAACGGACTGAAGCAATGTTGCGTCCTCGCCCTCATCCTCTTCAGTCTCATGTTTTTGGATGTGCTATCGGGCGCCTACCGTGACCAGCGTTCGGGATCCGCGTCGCCTTGAAGACGGACGGCCACCTCCTCATTCAGTGACGAATCGCCTCCGGTCTCGCGTATCCAAAACTACCGTCCACGGACTGCTCTTCGCCGAAGATTGCGCTCTCAACGTAACAACAGAAAACTACATACGGAGGAGCAGAGATCTCTTCTCCGCAGATGCCGCCGCCGCCAACGATAACTTCGGTCTGACAACCAACGCGGACAAAACAGTGTTCATGAACGAATCGCCAAACAACGCTCCCTACAATGCACCCAAACACAAGTTGTCGCCACTTTCACCTGCCTCGTCAACACTCCCTTTTGCAACGCCAAAATCGATGGCGAAGTAGCCAACCGGATTTCCAAGGCCAGCCACACCTTCAGTCACCTGCAGAGCGTCGTCTGAAATTGTCACGGTCTCCTACTCAGTATCGAATTCAAGATGTTTAAGGCTGTTGTCTTGACAACACTTCTATGCGAAGCGGAGACTTGGGCCGTCTTCTCAAACCATTCAAATAAGCTCGGCCACATCCATCCCACCTGCCATCTCAGACTACTAAAGATGAGACGGCAAGACAGGATTTCGCCATGGGTGTTTTAGAGCGGGCTGGAATCCTCAGCATTCCCGCCATGATAAGGCAGCTGCAGTTGCGTTGGACAGTCATCTCGTGAGGATAGCAGATACACGTCTACCACGCCATGGGCACTCTGCGGCATAAAGGCCAAAAACAACGTCACAAGGACTCTCTGGAGCGAATGTTGAAGATCTGGGACGACCTCGCCTAGAACCAACCGCCATGGAGAAGAGAGTTGAAGACCGGTGCAGACATCTAAGATGCAAATCGGATCGCCGCCAGCAAAGCCAAGAGGGAGGCTCGATGCCTCAAAACCAACAGTCAGCCGCTTCCAACATGTCAGTGTTGCCAACACACATTCCGCGCGCGAATCTGTCTTGTTGGACACCTTCGGACGCAATGCGCAACAACCCCACAACGTCAACCCCTCCTCCCACTTCCGACCCTGCCACAAGCCCCGCGACGACGACCACCCCTGTCACTCGCGACCACATTTTCGTTGCCCCGCTGCCATTAGTTACCGACATTATCCGTCCTACCCCAACTCCTGCGTCCACCACAGCGACCAGCTCCACCAACACCACGGTATCGCACACTCTCATCCCACCAATGGGATGACCTCCGGCGTCCAATCACCTGTTACCATCACCACCCCCCACCACGACTTGGTCCATTCTCGTTCGCCTCAGCCGCCCTTACTGTCTTCGCACATGCAACCACCACATTCAGCAAACCCACCACGCCCACGCTCTACATATCGGCGCGCCCACCGCCACCAGCTCTACCACCTCCATCACCGGAGCTGATACTGGCACCGCCGAATTCTCATTTCCACACTGTCCCCATACATTCACCCCACGCACAGGTCTGTCCCGTCACGTCAGAATCCGTCAGACAGAGACTGGCGAGACAGTGCCTGGAGCACCAACCTTCACTTGCCGCACCCGTCTCCATTGCCCACATTGCACTCGCACATTCATGCGCCACATAGGTCTATAAGGTCACATGCGCATTCATGAACATCCGCGGTAAACAACCGCCGGCTACGCCACATCATCATACCTTCACCCAGCAGCACCTGTACCACGCATCAACATCACCCAAATTTGACGAAGAGCGCTTGCAGGCATATCTGGCCCGACCCGAGAAATGGTCACAGGACTGGCTTTTGCAGTTTAATGTGACTAAGTGCGAGTCGGCAGGGCCCCATCTCTGAGCTGGACGGTTTACTACCTAAATGGCGTACCACTGCAGAAGCCCACTGTAGAGGCCCAGTAAGACTTGGGTGTGTGGGTAACGGCTTCTTTAAAACCGTCGCTCTACTGCTCCAAGGTAGCCAAGTCCGCGATGTCAGTACATTATCTTGTCGAGAGAGCTTTCTCTACCTTCGATGAGGACTGCTTCGTTAAAGCCCTTCGGACTTTCGTGCAACCACAGCTAGAGTTCGCTATTCAGGCATGGAAAGCCTGGACCTCTAAAGATCTCAGCATCCTTGAGAAAGTTCGAAGGCGGGCAACCAAACTCGTAAGTGGACAGGACTCACTACTCTATGAAGTACGATTGTCCAATCTCGGCCTTTTTCCACTGAGGTACAGACCGCTACGAGGCGGCCTTATACAAACATTCCGTATAATTCGCGGCCAGGACTGTTGTGTCTCACCTGCTGATTTCTTTGAGTTAACAACCACAACGAACCTCCGAGTTCATCCACTTAAACTACGTGTGACTGGCGCTAAGCTGGACATTCGGAAGTTCCTCTTTTCAAACAGAATGATCGAGGCTTAAAATGCTCTGCCTGCAGATGTCGTCATGTCCACCTCCGTCGAGGCCTTTAAGCGCAGGTTGGATCGGTGTACCACCAAACGTCAAAATGTCACCTGAACGACAAAGTCTAGCATTTCGTTCGAACAGTTTATTAATGTAGTTATGTTACTGCCTATATTTCAGTAACGTTTGCTTTTTATTATTGACCCGTGTCTGTTGAATGTGTGTCGGCATTTACTTCATCTCCCTCGGAAACTGAGATAGCACCAGACTACTGTACAGCACATTTAGTAACGTTCATGTTTTTAACTCTCGGAACAATTCGTCTATCTGTCTGATTTCGAAAACTTTGCCAATCTGAGGAAACTCTGTAGCTGTTTGATGTTTCCATTTTCAAATTTTTGATATAGTTCGTTCCTTGTAACAAATAGGGAGTTCAAAGGTTCAACACCTATATTTCCCTCAAATAAACTGAACTGAACTGAACCCATCGCCACACAAGGCAAGCACTCCATTGACACCTCTCACTTAAGTGGGAAGTGTTCTTCTCGCCTCCATCTCCATGCGGATCCTCTGCTGCATGTGTGATCCCAACCTAAGACCATTATGGTGCGCCAAACGCTGTGCTTCGGATGGTTGCCAACTGACGCCTCAACTCAGGCCACGCAGTCTGCCCAGTTGTGTTGAGAGGGTAGAGCGATGGGCTGTAAGTCAGGCTGCAACGGCCCCTTCTTAACATGACCTACTGACTGGTTACCCAGCCTTTGCGAGGAGACAGCCCAGGCTAAATTTAGGGCTGTGTCTCACCCTTCTGAGCCCTCAAAATTGTGCGCTGTGTCATGATTCAACAAGCCATGGTCCTCTCAGTCTGGTGTGTTCTGCCAGTCCTCTGGTGTCTGGTTTCTCAAAGTAGATGTGCAGGCGCCCCTGCTAGGTATACAGGTGGGGTGCATGACTGTCCAGTCACCAATGTCTTTTCTGTTGCTACTGTTAATCGCAATCCGGGTCAAGAGTTTGTTGCGGATCAGGCGGTGTGGAGTGGAGCGCCTAGGCGCGGATCCGGCCGCGCCATCCGCCAGCGTCTTCCACGTCTTCGGTCTTCTTGACTTAGTCTTGACACCGGGGAACCCACTGATGAGCCGAATCCCTCGCAGCTGTGTCATGCAGCGGCTGAATATCGGTGAAACCCGCGTGTATGAGATTTTGGCTAGTACCTGTGCTGTAAGTATGGTATCTCCTCACCCTAGTATACACTACTAGCTGTCCGTCAACAGTTAATGAATACTACGCGGCTGTAGGTGATCAATTTCGGCCCCAACATCCATACATAACATTCTCGCTGTGAGCCTATAGACCTAGAATATACTGACCTACTGGAATCTCGCAGTTAATTTCTGGGGAAGTTAAAAAGCAAAGAGGGGGTGGTACTCCTAGGTGCGGGTCCGACTATGTCAGCCACCTGCGTCCTCCCCCACCATCGGTCTTCTTGGCTTCGTCTTCATATCGGGATTAGGCGTCGAAGGGATGGAGGGCGCGGTAGATGCTGTGCAAGTCTGCGGCCACTATAAACTAATTCACGCACAAGTCAGTGCGCCCCCGCTCACCTTGCTGTAGAGCTCATTGTGGACATCGTCGGCAACGACGGCCAAACTGTCACTTTCGCATTTGAACGTCAAGGACATCTGCTCACATGACCAGGACGCAATAAATTCCGTCTCGCCCGAAACAGTGCGCCGAGTCGCCAAGTGCATTCTGCACACAAATCGGGTTGGCGCGAGTTGGCACTTTGATTGTGTGTAACACCTAACAGGTGTCCGTCCGAAAGTGCGTGAGTTGAGGTGCGTGCGTCTGTGTCAACAAGCCCGACCGATTGACTGAGTCACCTGTGTGTTGGAGCGTGTGATGGGTTGCCCCGTAAGTTGAATAGGGGGGAGAGGGGGTGTGTGGGGTAACAGGCGTGCTGGTAGGCGCGTGTGATTGAAATGCGATTGAAATGAACAGCAAGATTGCAGTTGCATGAAGGCGAAATTTTGAGTTCCAGGTGTATGCGTAAGTAAAGAAGAAGGGTCGAGCACCGGAACACTTCGTTTATTGTCCTGAGCTTTCACACTCCTGCAGGAATCCATCGTCAGAGGCGGAAGCAGCAACGGAACAAGCGACAGTTATAGAGCATGTAGGCCAATCATCGACCAACGGCTAAAGACTGGAGGTGACTACGCAGGGCTCTGTACGCCAGCGCCAGATCGATAACTCGATTGACGGAGTTCTCATCCGAGGCCCAGGCTTCAATCAATTCTCGGACTGTTTTGTTTCCGGTGTGGGTGACTATTTCGGTTGCTGCGATTTATCGGTTTATCGATCTGGCGCTGGTGTACAGATTCCTGCGTAGTCACCTCTAGTCTTGCGCCGTCGGTCGATGATTGGCCTACATGTCCTATAACTATCGCTTGTTCTGTTACTGCTACTACCTCTGACGATGGACTCCTGCACGAGTCTGAAAGCTCAGGATAATAAAAAAAAGTGTTCCGGTGCTCGACCCTTCTTCTTCACTTATTGAAGTTGAGCTCAGTAGTCTGTGTGGTTGTCAACTCAGGACCAGACGCCTGAAAATGGTGCGGCGGCATACATACTGTTTAGAGACGTCATATTTTAAGTGCAATTTTAGGCTATTCGACATTGCATCACATTTAGGTTACATTGAGTATGTCTTAGATATACTTACAATCAGTGACCAATCCCATCTAATGTCAGTCGAAATTCTGGAATTCGTTTTTAACTGGGAAGGATTACTTATCTGCCGTGGTGATCATGCATAATTGCATAATATTTTCTATTCTACAGGCTGTTGGCTTTGAATGCACTTTTTTTCTGCCCGAATTTGGTGCCCTCAGCAATTCAAATGAATTTGCTGGACAAAATGTGCAAATGCATTCTTTTTGGCGCTCATTGGGGGTGGTAAATCCCGCTTTCTTCAATCTTTCGCCCGGCGAAGCAGCAGGCTTCGGTTTTAA